ATCAAAACAAAATCAAATGTTTTTCACAACAAACTAATTTTAGGGCTCAGGAAACAGTACCCCAAAGTGAAGGCCTCAGAGTGAGCCTCAGAAGTAAGATTTCTCTCAGACCTTCTACCCTCCTGTCTCTCACCCCTCATTCTTTCCAGCAGGCCACAGAAACTAGACCTCCTCTTTCCCAAGGTGGATCATAGAACTCTTTTCCCTGAAAGCCAGTTATAAAGCATAAAAACATTAATCTTCCCCCCATCTTTCTGTGTAAAAGCCAGCCATAAAGATCTGACCTACCTTGTTTGATGGTAGATCATAAGACCACCATTCTAGAAAGGGATGCCTTATACCTGGGAAGAATGAATGCTGTATAGAGAGAGGCCAAGAAGAATCTGAATAGACAGGACTTGCTGGGTTTCGCTACCTCAATCTACTAGCATTAAATCATACCCTTGATGTCCAATCATACTTCTATACTGCTGTTCTTTCTTCATCAAACCTAAGCATAAAAATGAGTAGTTTTCCCTGTATCATTGGGTCTTTATTCTAAAGCCTCCAGTGTTATATAAAACTATGATTAAATGAGTCTGTTATGCTTTTCTCTTTTTAACCTGTCTTTTGTTATAGCAGTGTTGGCTGTGACCCTTATGTTGGAAGAGTGGGAGGGATAATCTTCTTTTTGCCCCTATAGTAGGAATACAAAGGATCTTCCTTAACCTGATGAAAGGCATCTAGAAACCCACAGCTTACATAATATTTAAAAGCAAAAGACTGAGTGCTTTCCCCAAAATCAGAAATAAGACATGGATGCCCACCCTCACCACTTCTACTCAATATTGTACTGGAGGTTCAAATCAGGTGATTGGTCAAGAAAAAGACACAAAGGGCATCCAGACTGGAAAGAAAGAAGTAAAATGATTTCTATTCACAGATGACATGATCTTAGAGAAGGCTCAAAAGAATCCACAAAAAACTATTAGCACTAATAAATGAGCTCAGCAGGATACAATGTAAATATGCAAAAACAATTGCAATTGTGTTTCTCTACTCTTTCTTTCTTTCTTTTTTTTTTTTTTTGACAGAGTCTCCCTCTATTGCCCAGGCTGAAGTGCAGCTTGCTGCAACCTCCACCTCCTGGGTTCAAGCAATTCTCCTGTCTCAGCCTCCCAAGCTGCTGAGATTACAGGCATGCGCCACCATGCCTGGCTAATTATTTTGTTTTTCAGTAGAGATGGGATTTTGCCATGTTGGCCAGGCTGGTATCAAACTCCTGACCTCAGGTGATCCACCCACCTGGGTCTCCCAAAGTTCTGGGATTACAGGTGGGAGCCACCATGCCTGGCCTATGCTCTTTCAATGAGAAATTTGAAAATGAAATTAAGAAAAGCAATTCCATTTACAATAGCATAAAAAAGAATAAGGTACTTAGAAATAAATCAAACAAAAGAAATGTAAGATTTGTACACTAAAAGCTAGACAACATTGTTGAAAGAAACGAGCCTGATTATTCCTAATAATCAAAATGTGAAAATCATGCAAATGTCTATCAATTGATGAATGGATAAACAAAATATAATATATATATATACACATTGGAATCTTATTTGGCCATCAAAAGGATTGAATTATGATACCTGCTGTACTATGAATGCGTCTTGAAACCATTATGCTAAGTGAAAAAAAATTCAGTTACAAAAGGCCACATATCATATTATTTATTTTATGTATTTAAAATATCCAATTTAGGCAAACCTATAGAGATGGAAAGTAAATTAGCTGTTGCCAAAGCTGAGAGGATGAGGTGAGTGGAGGGTGATAAAGGGTACATGGTTTCTTTCTAGGGTGATTTAAGCATTTTTAAATTGATTGTGATGATTGTTTAGTATTCACAACTCCATGAATACTAAAAAACATTGAACTGTACACTTCAAATGGAGGAATTGCATGGCATGTGAATTATACCTCAATAAAGCTATCACCAAAAAATCAACAACTGTCAAGGTCACCAAAAACAAGGAAAGTCTGAGAAACAGTCACAGTTAAGAGGAGACTGAGGAGACCCGATGACTTAATATGATGTGGGATTGTGAAATCCTGATGGGATCGTGCAATAGAAAAAGTAAGGAAATGTGAATAAAGTAAATATTTACTTAATAATAATCTATCAACATTGGCTCATTTATCACAATAAATATACCATCCTATTGTTAAGATGTTAACAATAGCAGGAACTGCCTATGGGGTCTAAGTACTATCTTTGCAATTGTTCTTTTATCTAAAACTATGCTAAAATTAGAGTTTATTTATTTATCTATGAGACAGACTCTCACTCTGTTGCCCAGGCTGGAGTGTAGTGGCACAATCTTGGCCTACTGTGACCTCCACCTGCCAGGTTCAAGCGATTCTCCTGCCTCAGTCTCCCCAGTAGCTGGGACTACAGGCATTCGCCACCACACCTGGCTCATTTTTATATTTTTCGTAGAGATGGCGTTTCATCATGTTGGCTAGGCTGGTCTCAAACTCCTGACCTCAAGTGATCCACCCACCTCAGCCTCCCAAAGTGCTGGCATTACTGGAATGAGCCACTGCGCCCAGCTGAGTTTATTTTTTAAGGGACATCTTTGTACTTTTGAGAGAAGGTCCTTGAGAAGTACATTTAATTACATTTGTATCAATTCTCCCTTGCTTTACATATTTAGCTGCTATTGTTTTTGGTGCACACAGATTTGACTTATCCACAAATTGTAGCCTTTATCAGTGGCTTTTTATGTTGTTAGTGCTTTTTCCCCTAAAACCCATGTTAATTTTAATAGGGCTATTTTAGCAGCCCCATGGCACACATGATTTCTGTGTGGCCACATTGAAGTGGCATCTTTGCTACTCTTATTCATCTTCTTTCCTCTTCATACACTACTTCAGAGTTTCTAGCACTTTAAGACTTTGGAAACTTTTGGCTTCACCTGTGTCCCCACCTCCCAGTTCATAAATTTGCTGAATACTTATTAGAATCCCCCACATCCCTTCTATTTCAAGGATTTTTGCCTTTGCTTGCTTATGTTTCATGACAGCAGCCTCTCCACATCCAACCATAGGGATTTTGTTATTCACCTTATTTTTCTGATTTCCCGCAACTTGAGTTCTGTATTCTTTGTGGAGCGGGGGGGGGTGGGTTAGTGATTTCTTAACTATTTTCTTCAGATGGAGCATGTGGGTGATATACACCAACGTTTGCATAAAAAGAATATTTTTAGATCCTTTTTTAAAATTTTATATCCATTTTTAAAGCCTTCACTACTTCAAAAATCAAAAGAATCCTGAAGTTTATGAACAATTGAAGAAGGCGTTAACGAAGAGAGATCACAATTCAAATTGTCTCTCTATCCCTTGATTTCTGTAGAAGGGTGGAAAGACCTATTTCCAGTCTGGAAAAGGTGGAGGTTTTTCTCTTCCTTGACAGATTCAGAAATCTCCAGGAGTGGGCCTGGGGAGGTAGGAGGGTGGCCCATACCCGTAATCCAAGCACTTTGGGAGGCTGAGGTGGGCAGATCACCTGAGGTCAGGAGTTCGAGACCAGCCTGGCTAACATGGCGAAACCCTGTATCTACTAAAAATACAAAAATTAGCTGGGTGTGGTGGCACCTGTAATCCCAGCTACTCTGGAGGCTGAGGTAAGAGAATTGCTTGAACCTGGGAGGCGGAGGTTGCAGAGGCCCAAGATCACACCATTGCACTCTGGCATGGGCAATAGAGTGAGACTCAATGAAAGAAAGAAAGAGAGAAAGAGAGAGGGAGAGGAAAGGAAGGAAGGAAGGAAAGGAAGGAAAAGGAAATCTATCTCCAGGAGTGAAGGCAGAAATTGGAGGAGCAGCTCGAAAGTGTTTAATGCAAATGTTAGTTCAGTCATCCTAAGTAGAGGCCAGCTCCACCTGTTGGAACGGGAGTTGAGGGTAAATACGGCAGAGTGCCTCATGCATGGGCTCTGGGAAAGGAGCCAGCCAAGCCAGCCCAGGTGATAAAAGGTAGCTGGTCCTTTTTTTGCTCTCACCTCAGAGCCCTCACCAAGCAAGGCCTGGTTTTTCAAATAGCCTTCCTTACAGATAAAAGCCATGCCTCAGTACAAATGAATACTTGCTCTGATACCACTCAGATGTATTTTAAAGCATTGTTCCAACAGACTGATTTCACAGTAAGAGAGATGAAGGGTGGGGTGAGAGAAAGGAGCCCAGAAGTTTCCTTGTCTGTCTCTGTGTGAATCCGCCAGGCCTTTTAACAATCACACTTAACTTGAGAGTATCTGGAAGAATGGGCCATTTTTCATTTTCCGGAGAGAATTGCCAGCACCTATAGATTTAATATATCCAGAGAAAGACCAAACATAACATTTAGGATCTCTGACGAGTTTAACTGAAGATCACACCCCAGGACAAGTGGGGTGAGTTACTTAGCCATTTCCTCCTATATATGATATAATTTTTAGTATAATCACATTTTCTCAGATCTCAAGGAAGAGCCCTAGGGAATATTTTTAATTATAAGATAGACTTAGCATTTGGCCTTACGTATTATGAAGCATCTTTGTCAACATCAGATAGTTGAGTCCTAGGAGCAGATGGGAGCATTTATACAGGCTTATGTGAGGCACTTCAGTTCCTCTTATCCTCAAATCTGCTCTCACCTCATCGCCTGAATGTGCAACATCTGTGGCTTTGTTCTCACTTGCACTCTCTGATGGGAAGCTGTATAATTTGATCCATTGTGCATTAAAGGTGTTTTGTTAGGATGATCATTTAAAATACACACTCAAAAAGGCACACACCAGGGTGCCACATATTAAACATTTTATCTCTTCTCTTTAAAACAATCAGAGCTAAATGTTTTTACAGATAATCCCAGACCTCATTGTAGAGGAGTAAGTGCACACTCTTTTGAACCATTCTTTTTCAATAACCTGGCTTATGAATATCTTCCTCTTCTCTCTTCCCATTTTCACATTTAACCCAGTTTCCTACCTTTTGAAAGTCAGCAGAATCTTCTCTGTCTTGTGTAGCCTTGGCTGTGTTCTCCTGACCTCAGATCCAGAGACAATTCCTGTGGGTTATCTACCTAATGCTACCCACAACGTGAAAACCGGCCTGTAGCGGGCTGTCAGGAGCTGATGCCTTCATGTGATTATCATGCTTTGTACTGTCTTTTGGAAAGGAAAAAAATCAGTGAAGCACTGCTGGTCTTGCTGCATCTTCACACATTATTGTAATCAAGGAAAAAATACTTAAATATTTAAAAATAATTATTATTTAAAAAAATGTTATTGAGAAATAGCAGATTCTCCTTCAAAAGGCAAAGATCCCATAGGAGTAAAGGAGTCCAGACACCTTGTGGTCTGTTTCCTGCCCCTGGGATGGACTGGGGCCATTCTAGAATTTCAGAGCATTTGTTCTCTCCACATAGGATGGCTCAATGTTTATGCTTAATTCCATAAGTTTCCTTAGCATAGCAGAAGCTTCGGCCCTCTAGTTCTCCCAGTTAACAGCGATGCCCCCAAGAGCATAAGCCCCTCTACCAGGCTGAGCCATTAGAATCTCTTCCTCGGGAGTATGGATTGGGAATGCATAGCAAGACCCCTGGTATGTAAACACAGGTCCTGCTGGTGGCTGTGTTTTCTACTGTATGGACTGGAGAACAAAGGAAGCAGAGGCACAGGAGGAGGATGATGGGCAGAGAGGGGTGACATGAAAGCAAAGCAAGGGTCTCCCTTGCTGACAGCCAGGCCCTTCCCTGGTTCCATTCTTCCCAGAAAGCCTTCCTGCATCACGGGTACATGAGGACCCTTCTATGCTTACAACTCTCCCTCACTTATTTTGTTTTTGGTTTTTGAGACAGGGTCTCACTCTGTCACCCAGATTGGAGTTGGATCGCAATGGTGCCATCTCAGCTCACGGTAACCTCCACCTGCCAGGTTCAAGCCATTCTCCTGCCTCAGCCTCTCGGGTAGTTGGGACTACAGGCGTGCCCCACCATGCCTGGCCAATTTTTTGTAATTTTAGTGGAGACAGGGTTTCACCAGGTTGGCCAGGCTGGTCTCGAACTCCTGACCTTAAGTGATCCACCCGCCTCAGCCTCCCAAAGTGCTGGTATTACAGGCATAAGCCACAGCGCCCCGCCTCTCCCTCACTTATTTTTTTCCTTAAAACAGCTCAAGCAAGCTTCTGATATGACCAGAAGCTTCCTTACTGATACACATATCTAACTTTTAAAGACTCGTTATTCTTTCTCTTCTCCTTTTGCCTCTTCCACTTTAACATCTGGTGTTTTGCCTTTGTGGTTTTGCTGTGGACGCACATGTACACTTGTGCATTGTAAGTCGACTTGCCAGTCCATGTGGAAAAAATGAAAGACAGGTTCATCCTATTCATAAACAAATGCAGGGAAAGGCATTTCAGAGCCTGCCCTGGTGAGTCACCCGCACCCCCTCCTGTGGGGCAGTCACTCTTTAGCACGTCTGTGTGGAAAGGCAGAGCTGGGGATTGTAGGTGCTTTCATTTTTTCAAGAGAAACCAGAAATGATGATTTTTATGAGAAATCTCTTAATTTTGAATTGTCGATTCAAATTATGTTTAAAAACGCAGTAGACCAGCCCCCTCCCCACTGCAAAAATGTTTGCAGGCTGCTTGCAATCTCTGCTTTCCATCCTGTTAGTCACACTGTGGACTGAGGACCAGCAGCATCAGCAGCACTCAGGAACTTACTAAAAATGCAGAATCTCAGGCCTACCACAGACAGGATGAGTCAGAATCTGTCTTTTCACAAGGCCCCCAAGTCATTTGTCTGCACATTAAAAACTGAGAAATCCTGGCTTAATTCACTTGTTCCTAAATTTGGCTGCATATTGAAACTGCCTAAGAAACTTAAAAAATAAAATAAAATACTAATACCTGAATTCTGCTTCCAGGAATTTTGTTTTAATTAGTCTAGAATGCAGACTGGAAAAACAAAAACAAAAACCTCCCCAGCTGATGTTAACAGGTAGCAAATGTAAATGTAAAGAATGGCTGGTCTACCACAGGACCCAACACCACTTCCTACTGCCGCCCAGGTGATGTCCGCCAGTTCACGCAGACCTTATCCACCTTTGCTCCTGAAATGGCAGCTCCAGGTCTGAAGTCTCAAGACTTTCACAGGAGGTGGACGTTCTAGCTCCACAAATATTGCCAGAAAATAATTTTGGGAAAGGGGTGGGGAAGAGCGCTTCAATTTTTTTTTAATTTAATGATCCTAAATTAGAAGGCAGGACTTTCTCAAATGCCACAAAGAAATAGTGAGTATGAACATTTTAGAAAAATAACTATTACAGTCAAAAGTACTCAGTTCCTCAGTACAAAGATTCCAAACACACAGGACTTAAATCTGAATCTTAAATGATCTCAGGCGTCTGAAAATCCTAGTTCTTTGAAAATGTGGCCAAATAAGAAGGGAGAGAATAACAATAGCAAAATAACCGAGGTTGAACCCTGAGATGCCTAAAATTAGAGTGCAGGGAAAGCATCATCGTTTACCTTCTGACCCCTTGTCTTGTCACTCTGATCATTGCTTCTAGAATACATTCCAGCAGCTAAAACAAGCTTTTTGTTTGTACCTGAGTATATGTATAAAATTCTTCCAGTGTGATAAACTGCGAACAAAAACCAAGCCCCCAATTTTTTATCCCTTGTATGGATGGCCTGCGCAATGTGATCTGTGGCTCCTCCCCTCAAGAAGTAGATTATTTCAGCCCATCCTTTGAATCTGGGATGGCCACGTGGCTTCCCGTAGCCAACAGAATGTGTAGAAACTGTGCTCCCATTCCTGGGCCTAAGCTGCGGGAGACCTGGCATGCTGCCGCTCTCTCTCCTGGAGCACCGCCACTGCAATGTAAGCAAGCTGGATTCACTGGATTTAGAGAAGACCCAAGGCCCTCCTAGGCCTCCCAACAGCCAGCTGACCCCCAATACTTGAGAAACCCCCACCAATGTCAGCAGTCACCTGCCTAACCCACAGCTGACCAAAAATGCATGAGCAAGCCCAGTCAAGACCAGAGGAGTCACCCATCTGGCCACAGCATAGTGAGTTAATACTTGATTGGTTTCATACTGATAGCTAATGGATATACCCAGCCTAGAGAATTTCAATTTAAACATTAATATTCTGAAGAAATGGAGTCCAAAGAAATAACTGGAAAATAGTCAAAAAGCGATACTAGGGAACACTAAAGAAAGAATAAGTTTCTTTTGTCAATTTTGTTCCTCCGAGTCATTTAGAGACCGCACTGCTGTGTTACCTTGCTAAGGAAGGAGCTGAGCAAAATTGGGGCCAGCTGGTTGGAGGTGGTGCATATTGAGAGGATGTCCCTGGGCACAGCATCTGACAATGGCTTCCAATCACTTCCTAATTCCACCTCCACTACTGCTCCTTTTATATTTTCGTCTACATTATTGAGCATTGTAATTTGAAGACCAAATTTAAATATGAACAATGTTCATGTTCTGAATAACATCACATTTATGGATTCCTTAGATAATTCTTATGACTTAGTACGATTTCCCAAAAGATAACAGCATCACATGTCCTAGGGTTTTCTGCAAACTTCCTAAGAAAACTGAACTGTTTCATAAGAAACTGCTTTCAATATTCTTGCTAGAAAATCAGTTTAAAATTTAGCTCAAATGGCAAAAGAAAAAAAAGTCAGCATTTATAAGATACCATATGCATCACGGACTCAGTCTTCTCTCTCCCCTCACGAATCAGAAGTTATGTTCAATCTCTGGGCAGTAAGCAGCTTTGTAGGTGAGGGAATTATTCTGCTTCTACCTCCCTATGACATAGAATTAAGGCTGGATTTCTTTTTTTTTTTTTTTTGGCTTAGATTTTTTGTATTATTATACTTTAAGTTCTGGGGTACATGTGCAGAATGTGCAGGTTTGTTACATAGGTATTCACGTGCCATGCTGGTTTGCTGCACCCATCAACCTGTCACCTACATTAAGTATTTCTCCTAATGCTATCCCTCCCCTAGCCTCCCACCCCTTGACAGGCCACGGTGTATGATGTTCCCCTCTCTGTGTCCATGTGTTTTCATTGTTCAACTCCCACTTATGAGTGAGAACATGCAGTGTTTGCTTTTCTGTTCCTGTGTTAGTTTGCTGGGAATGATGGTTTCCAGCTTCATTCATGTCCTTGCAAAGGACATGAACTCATTCTTTTTCATGGCTACATAGTATTCCAGGGTGTATATGTGCTACATTTTCTTTATCCAGTCTATCTTAAAAAAAAATGCAGAAATAATTATTTTCAACTGGTTCTTCTTTTAGTCCTGCAAAAATCCCTGAGATAACGACAAATAACAAAAGGTAAAACTATCTGTTTGAAACTGTGGGGTGGTGGTGAGGGAAACAGAACATGAAACATACGTTAAAAGTATAATACATATATTCAACTTTATAAAGGAGGTAAATCCTGACACATGCTACAACATGGAAGAACCTTGAGGATACTATGCTAAGTGAAATAAGCCATAAAGCTGGATTTCTGCAGACTTCTCCTCACCTTCATAGCTGACTGAATTTGCCAAGAAGTGAACAGAAGCGGTCACATAATCCTATTCTAAGGCCATTCATAGTTTCTGACGAAGGCTGGTGGCTGCCTCAGATCAAGGGATAGCCCAAAGATGAACAATATTTGTATTGAGAAGCCAGATACAATTTCAGGAGGTGAACAGAAGTCTCACTTTCAGGTAAATACAAGACTAATGAAGGAAGTTGCTTTTTTCTCTTAATAGTGAGGTTGGCAAGCCAAGCACATGGCGTATTTATGGATCTCTGTCCTGGACATTATGAGGAACAAAGAAGCCATCCCCCACGCAGTGACTGCTCTCAAGGAGCTCACAATCTGGTTAAAGAGATACAATGGTCAGATCCGAGAAAAGGGGGTGTAGATCAGTACTTCCGAGAGGTGGCGTTGAGATGGTAAACGGTACCTGAGTGACCAGAGTTACAGGACACAAGACTATGCTGCAAGCTGGATAACTCAGGGAAGGCCATGGGAAAAAAAAATCAAGAAATCAATGGTGAGATTGAGCATGCTGTTTATTAACTACACCTCTAGAAGTATGTCCTGGCTGGCTGACTCGTTGATACACACACACACACACACACA